AAATTGGCTGGACAACTAAAAATATATAGAAAAAATTAGCCGGGCATGGTGGCGCATGCCTGTGGTCCCAGCCACTCGGGAGGCCGAGGCAGGAGGATCGTTGAGGCCAGGAGCTGGAGGTTGCAGGCGCCCCCCGCCTGGCCCGCCGCGCTAAGCAAGCTGGGATGTCACTGTGGCTCACGCCTCTGCCCCCCATCAGACTGCAAGTACTTCAGAGACTAGAGGGGTGAGACTTCAGTTCTGCGCCCCCCGCAGCCACGTGGCACGGGGCGGGTGCTAATAAATGTTGACTGAATTTGTTAATGAACCAGCGAAGGCAAAATGCTGCTGGACTGAAAACGCGAAAAAAAAAAAAAAAAAAACAGGTGCAATGTTTTCCTTCCAGGAGAAACTCGGGGGACCCCTGACAAATCCCCGTGTCCCCGAGTACCGCGAGGACGCAGGGCTGGATGGCCCCACGGGCTCTGCCGGCGCTGAGGGTCTGGGAGCCCGGGGCGGCGACAGCCAACAGCCGACGGCTTAAGGTCTCTCGCTGAGGATGACCATGGGATCCTTCGTCAAACCAGGACACGTCTCAGCGGGAAAGGCGGCGCTGCGCGTAACTGCTCGCGACGGACAGGGCTGACCTGGGCCGGCCCTGGGAGAAGCGGAGCTGTGGTCCCCCTGCCCCGGCCCCTGGGAGACCTCCCTCCGCCAGCAAAGCGCCTCGTGGGGAACACGGACGGTCTGACCACCCAGCTGGCCCTGGTTCCTCCGTCTCCTGCCCTATGGGACTGTCCTCTCCCACCCGCCGTCTCTCTCTGCTGTGAGCCGAGACCACCCGTCGTCTCCCTCTGATGCTGACCGAGACCACCCGCCATCTCTCTCTGCTGTGACCCGAGACCACCCGCCATCTCTCTCTGATGCTGACCGAGACCACCCGCCATCTCTCTCTGATGTGACCCGAGACCACCCGCCACCTCTCTCTGATGTGACCCGAGACCACCCACCGTCTCTCTCTGCTGTGAGCCGAGACCACCCGCCATCTCTCTCTGATGCTGACCGAGACCACCCGCCATCTCTCTCTG